ACTCATATGTTAATTCTAAAAGTGATGTTTCCATTACAGTGTGTTCTATTGAAAGCTGCTATGTCACGAAAAGATGTGTCCTTTAACATTGCAGATTATTAATCAATAGAGTTTATCCTCCATAACAGACTTTACACTTGAGGTCACATAACATTGCCTGTTGCATTTCTTAAAGATGCATGTAAAAGAAATAAATATGTGAATGTTAAAATATTGAATAGGTCATTTGTGCAGAAAATTGAAAATCATGCAAAATCTTCCAAGAAACTGAATTCAAATTAAATTTCCAAAGTACATAGGAATAACTTTATTTGTTTAAGGAACTACAGTTTGGTAGTATAATATAAAGATCCTATGGAAATAGAAATAGAATATGGACTTTCCATCTCTAATATGGGGGAAAAATTATCAGTCCACGAGAGATTAAGAATAAAATATGAAGCGATTTCCCACCTTTGGTCACTGGCTTTATGACTACTCCATTACCCTGAGATTTAATGGAAAATATCCCACCCTCATAAGAATCTGAAAGTACCTTATTAAAATGGCAGTGCAGACCAACATTAGTCACCGTCTTTTGTGCTCTCGTTTAGCACCTCCTTCTATGCACCTTACACTTCACCAGCCACAAATATCAAACTATGTCTTATTCAACATTATATAACCTTTGCAGCAAGGAGCATATTAAATAGCGTTCAATTGCACTAAACCCTGTGTGGTGTCTCCATCGTCACCAGTCCAGGAACAAGTTGTTATTGAGAATCCTTCCACGGTATCCCTAATATTTTCAAAGTGAGTGAGGCAACAGTACAAAAAAAGAAAAGGCAAAGGTAAAACTGCCCCTGTAACAGGCTGTGAAGCCCATAGGGGTGTGAGAGGTCGAGGCTCCCACATCTTCTAGACAGTCGGTTCACAGATGGCGGTAGTGTTACCAGCCTTACATGCCTTCCACCCTTTCCCCCCCAGCAATCTTCCTGGTACTCATTTCTGTTAGAGGCTGAGTCGACCTCAGGGCCATATTGCGGCTGGAAGGATTAAGTAAATTAAAAAAATTCAGTGGCCTCATCAGGAATCGAACCTGTGACCTTCTGGCTTGTAGCATAGTGCCTCAACCAACTATGCTACCGCGTGCCCTGAGCAGGTGATTAATATTGCAGGATGGTGATTAGTACTTCCATTTAGAATATGCAGGAACCAAAGCACAAGAGAATAAGGAGCAATTGAAACTGAATACTTCATTCCCGGATCAGAGCCAGTGTAAATGTACGGGATGAAAATATAAAGGTGCAAAGGTTAGTCTCCAAGTTGAGGTTTGCTCTTGCAACTTCATGTAATATGAAGCATTGCTGGTAAAACTACACATGCTACTTGGCTTGAATATGTGCAAGGGCTGACTGACATAATGCTATTAAAATAATGGCATATATCAGTCAGTCATTTGCTGAAGTTTTAAATATGTAGTGGCAGCAGTGCTGTGTTTTATGAGTGAAAGAAACATGACAGCAGTTTGGTTGAAGCTTTAGCAATGAGGTTTTACAACTTTGTCAGGCAGATGCTGCATTTTTATTGCTCCCTGCCCACTGTGCTATAGAAGTTAGTTCAAAAGCTGTGAATTAATATGTGTTGGGTTATTGCAGTTCCAATTAGTTACTATAGGATTCTGACGATGGTGTATAACACACTGATATATTGGGTTTTTGGACTTTATCCATGGTCCTGGTTTTTAAGATAACTAATAAAACACGACGTTTCAGAAACTGGATCTGTTTCCGTCCTCAGGTGAAGGAAAACACCTATCTATCTATCCTAGTTCCACGCTTGTATGTGTTTGCAACAATTTGTTATGAATATTTTTCTTATTAGCTCTCATGGACTTAGCCTGGTCTCAGGTGTTTATAATCTTCATGTTTTGTGACATCGGTTTGTCCAGTGATTGAGGCTAGCTCTCTCTAACAGGCCCAAGAGAATAGGTGTTTTCCTTCACCTGAGGACGGAAACAGATCCAGTTTCCGAAACGTCGTGTTTTTATTAATCTTAAAAATCAGGACGATGGATAAAGTCCAAAAACCCAATATATCAGTGCAGTTCCAATGTTTGTTACTTCATAGCTATATTTACAACATAAATTATTTGATTTATAAAGTATTTTCAGGGCCTTAATTGTAGACATCTATATTAGGGTTATCAAACAGCAATTTACACACAACATCAATTTACATATATACAGTATTTAATTAATTACACCCAAGTGATACAACTTGTATGTAGAAGGTAAATGACAAATAGACATGGCCTATGGCATTGAGTTATTTACATACTCAGGGTTTGATCTAGGCTTAGATGGGAGGATGATGCCAAAACTGACATTAAAGAACTAGATTGAGAAAATACAAGCTGTACCAAACGATCTTAGGATAAGGTTCACTTCTGGCCTTTGGTGATGAAATTGAAGAAATCTCAATTTCTATAAAAGGAGGGAATGTATTGTCCACTTGATTAATTGCCGGATGCTTAGTGAAGGCTCTGTATTATAGCTGGATGGTTGATTTGAGTTACAATTGCATTATACAGTGGAGAAACAACAAATTTTTACGAAATGCTGTCAGAAGCCCTTATGAGAACATAGCATTGGAGGTACGTAGTTGTTCCTGTGTCTCTAACTGAGGACTATGCCATGAAGATGTATGTGGGACTGGATGTATAGATGCAAGTGTTACTGACCTCAGGAGTTGTTGAAGGTGAGTGGTCAGCTTTATGCCTCGGCTGCTTTACCCCTGAGAAAAGGGCACCTAGTAACCAATGGATAGGAGGATGAGTGGGTTCCAGAACCGGTATAGATGATGTGGAGAGGAGAAAAATCTTGCTCCTTCTGGGACCTGAACTTCAACCGCTCGGCCGTCCAACTCCTAACTAGTCACTATAGCAACTTCTCTATGCTGGCTCCCAATAAATTGGAGTGAGAAGTCACATTAAAATGGATCTAGCAGGCGAGCAGGTTTAAAAATGTGAATTGGATTGAACTAATTCACGATAGTGTCTGATATGTTCCAGTATTACTTTTTTTAATTATGCTTTTTAAGTGCACAGCATAGCAGGATGATTGTTAATGATGAATTGGGAAGGAAGGATGCCGTAATGGCCGTTCCAGGATATTTCCTGAGTAAGTAAGTGGTGGAAACTACAGAAAACTTCATTCAAGAGAGCTTGTGACCAGATCAAAGTCCAAATTCCATTCTCCCAAATGTGAAGTAGGGATTCTAATCACTTTACTACAATATGTGGCGCATGTACCATCGAGTTATATACTATGTTAGGCAGGCGGTTAGTTTCAGCCTCATGTGCTTGTTTCTGCCACAAAAAAGAACATCATATGAGTTATGTAATTTCCAAACAGGATCAATTGCCGACATCTCGCAGTTGGATAATGCAACTCATAATTCAATTGTTGCGGCCTGTTTCTCACAGGGTTTTCTTTGAACTCACTCATACATTATTGTGATGGATTCATTAATGTGCACAATTGATGTTCATGAGATTAGCCCACAGCTGGGTCAGGGCAGGGTCCAGTTAATTGCTCTAGCATTGTGTATGTCACAGGACTTATTTTTATGCACTAGTTAATTTTGTCTCACATTTTTATATTTCGCGGTTTGTTGATTGTCGGAACTGTGTAATAAAATTACCATTTGATGGATACGAGAGTTGTTGAGAGTTCATATAATAATAAACATACATTGATCACTTAAAATGTTACGCATAACTGAGATATTGTAAAGGACTAATTGATTAGTTTATATATTAACGTATTTAACATCAAATCATATGTGTGACTTACCTAATTGTTTACTGCTCTGTTCTACAGTGAACTGACCTCCTATTGAAGGTTCTGAAGTGCATTCTGTTTAACTGGAAGCTTAAAAAGTCACTCCTTCCTTGACCTGCTCCCTTTTTATAGTCAAAGTCACGGTAGGTAAAATTCTAGAATGTCTGTGGGCAACCACAATGTTCCCCATCCCAAAGACTTCAGAAAGCCCAAGTGCTGTGTGCACAGGCCAGGCAATGTGGTTCCTTCCAGTTCCTTACAGCAAGATGAATCTAGATATTTCCTTTGGATGAAAATCACTTGCAGGGCAGGTGATGCTACCTCACCACTCTCAGTTCCCATGACAACACAGACCCACAATTCAGTTGTATGAACACTTTATTAAGCACAGTTCTTCTCCTTACTTATAGCTGGTATGTATTCCCAGAACTCTGTCTCTCCAACCCATTACTCTAAAATATGATATTACAAAAAAATACTCTACTTTTTATATTCTTTATTAAAAATTATTCTAAAACGTCATGAATTTTATTACCAAACACTCTATAAACAGATTTCTTTCTTCTGGAGTACAACACTGTACAGCTTGTTGAAAGTCATCTGACGTTTCTGAGGACATCACTTCCAAAAACAAAAATCCAACATGAAGCAGGCATTGATATGTTCCTCCAAAATGTTTTTTTGGCTTTCAGCAGACTGTATGGTGTTATATCCCAAAAGGCAGAACTCTTTATGATCACCATGTGAGAACCTTCAAACTTATAAAAGTAAAGTAATATTGCTCCAGCCACATGTAGATTTTGACGTGGAGAAGGGTGTTGATTGCTACACCACTCTCTTGTACCAAACTCCTTGGCACAGACACTGGATATATTGACCGAGTGTTTCTGTAATTTTCCTCAGTGCTTCCAAGGTATTTTAAGGATTATAACTTTAATATTTTATTATTGCTTGCTAGGAATTCCTGTCCAATTAATCATTTGTAATCATCATATTCTTCAGTGCCATTGCATTTGTGCATATAACTTAGCTTAATTAAATATACCAGAATCCAAAATAACCCACCTTTCAGCCTTTTTTCTGAATTCAACCCTGAATTAAGTGCAAGTTCAAATATTGTCTGTAGTCTCTTAGGATATGAAACACATACTTATGATTGTGTCTTTTCCATCCAAAGGTTTCAGTGCCATCATCCCTGGGTTTCCACGCTATTCAGTAGTTGGTGATAGTCGAAATGGTGTATACAACCTGAGGATTGTCAATGCATCACTAAGTGATGATGCAGAATATCAGTGTCAGGTTGGTCCAGCAAGGTTCAACAAAGCAATCCGAGCCAATGCCCGGCTGAGCGTCATATGTGAGTGTGCTTGCATTTATCAAAATACTGGCTATTTTATGCAATATTTCTATTTATTCACCTCCTCCTCTTATTTCTCCTCTTTAGTTTCTGATTATCATACATGTTGATGCTCTATAACAGCAGATTATTCCACTTACATTCTTTAAATCTGTTGGTTTTGAACTTTGAAACACAACATTGTAGCTAAGAGGCAATCCATTAAAATTTCTGACCTTTAACATGTGCAGACTACCTTATAATTTGTGTGGTCATATACAGATTATATGTACTGGAATATGGGCAAATTACAACTTTCAGCATGTTGAAGACATGTTTGGGACAGGCTTCACTGTAATAGCATATCAGACAGTTTCTCAGCAACAAGGCATCTAAATTTTTTGTTGACAAAAATATGTTTCTGTCTTCAGTAACAAATAGTCTGAATTGTAAATTGCAAAGAAAAGTAGGTGTAAGGTTCTAAAGTTTTGTAAGGTGGTATTCCTTTCAGAATTATACAACTTTTAACATACTTTTAGGAAAGAAAAAAGTAACAACATGTGTATTACACAAAGTATTGTGATGTATTAAAGATGGCTAATAATTCAATGTAAAGTAATTAGTATGTAAACTGACACTCCCTAATTCTTTGGAACCCTAATCAGTTGCTTGCCATATTGCTGTTAATTCTTGTTAAATTTAAAAACTACAGAGATGCATTTCATGTTGCTATCTCTTGACTGCAGCTGGATGATAAATACTATTTGATGACTGAGATAAAGCATATAGATTAGTCTGGAGAGCTGGTGGGCAATCTTGCAGTAACTTTGTTTCACATAATGTTGTATTTTAGCGTCCTGTTGTACTGATTCTCGTCCATGATATGTATGTATTGGCTGTCTTGTAGTGCACTCAATCTCACATGTCACTTCACTACATGTTTCGGCATCACTGTGCCATCCTCAGTTGCGTTGTTTACGCTAAGCTATTGCATTGCTCGCCATCATGTGTCATTCATAAAATTATTTAAAATGTACATTCTTCATCAACTATAATAAAATTTGTATACACTAAAACTTGTTAAGGTTTATCATCTTATATGTCTTAATTCAAACTCGCGTATTGTATGATTCTTCCACTATGGGAGTCGTTTTTCCTATATTTTGTGTATACCGTGTCTTGTGATGTGTCTTTCCTTTTTGGCTGCAAGCGTTGTAATTTGTTTCACATATGTGTTGTTCACCCTCAGGATGAACTCCTCTAGCAGCCATGCTACCAGCAACATGTAACCTTGAGAAATTAGCATTTTGAAATATCACTCAATTATCACTCCTATGATAAAACTTTCTGCATGCTTGTCAATTTCTTTCTTTCTTTCTTTCTTTCTTTCCATCTCATATTGCTCATTTCTCTCTCTCATTGTAAATCTGTAAAGTTGTCCCAGGCTTTGCCTCAGGCTCTGCTATTCTGCTCCACAATATTCAGCTTGTAATGGCAGAATTGGATTTAAGGTTCCCATAATTAAAATCCCTCTATCTTTGGCACATATTTTGAATTTTTCTATTACACTCACCCTCCTTAATTTAATCATCCTTACAATAATATGTGGAGGATGTAGATTCCCTCAGGTGGTTGGCAGATTTAATCTCATAGCAGTTCATGCGGATATTTAATGAACAAAGTGGCACTAGGCCAGTTTTCTCTCAAAATACTGCCATTAGCCATTTCATTATTGCTCCATAGCCATCTACTACTCCCCCTGAAAAGAGTGATAGTGTGACTTACCAGCATATTATCACAACCTTGGCTCAGCTGGGGCTTTAGTTCTGACCCAGCACTTGCTCCGACTCAAAGCAGAGAAGTTAAAGTAGTCATAAAATGATGTCACTTATTGTTGCAGCACCTCCGTCCTCTATTGAGATTGTTGATCATGCACCTAATTCCAAGATTGAGATCAGAGAGAACCAGGAATACCAGTTGGAATGTCTAGTGAAGAATTCAAAGCCAGCAGCAAAAATAGTTTGGTACCGAGGCAATGTGGAGTTGAAGTTGGGTGAGTGAACAAGTTCAAATTTCTTTTAACCAATCATATGCAGTGCAGAGGAATTATCAATTAATAACGAAAATTTGTGTTCCATATTCATGTCAAATTCATAATATTAGTTTTATGACCTATTAATATAGTTTCACTGCATCAGTCGGTTACTACATAATACATACTATCCTCAGAATAATAATCTATTTCAATACATGGCATGTAGGTGATGTAAAATGTGCTTGCTTTCAGAACACTAACTCTGTTCTAACTGGTAATGATTTGCAAATTGCATGCAGCACATTTTCATTCCTGCACACAGTTACAGGAAGATTAACATGAAATTGTGCCATTCTACAAATGTGTCTTAATTTTGTTAATTGCATGTTACCATGGTTGATGTCATTACTGTCCTCTCATACTAAGCAAACTTAGCCAGCCTGTCAGTATTGGTATGGAAAAGTCCTCTTTAAGATATACCATACCCATTAATCAGTGCATTAGATTATTAAAAATAATTACTTCTCTATATTATAGTTCCTCTGTGAACTTCATAATTGTGTGTACAGAAACTGAATGGCAGTTCACTTATGCATATGGCAGGAAATAACAACAAAAGACCGTGAGAAAATGTAAATTTTGCAGCCTTAAACACATTGTGAAGTGTGATCATTTTGTATTGAAGTTAACATATGGTATATCCATAATATTTCATGCTGTTCAGCTCAATTGGAAAGATGTTTTCCTGCACTCTTATAAAACTCAGTTCTTGCCCATTCAGATCTGTAAGACTAAAGCTAGTATATTCAGTTGGGCTTGACATACATACAGGCAGTTGCGCACTGCCTGCTGCATTGCTTAATTCCATTTCATATTTTCACATTCCTCTTCCATGAGATACATTTTAGTATTATCCTGTGAACTATGCTCTGATCTCTCATGTGGTTTTCAAACATCATCATCATCATCATTTATTTACATGTCAAAAATCCTTTACAAGGTCGTAAGACTCAGGATATAGACAATAGACCAATATAACAATTAAATATAATAATTACAAAAAATATATTACGTGTTAAAATATTTGTGTAAACATAATTTTAAAATTATAAAATTTGTAATTTAACTTTTCATTAATGATGTATATAATTCCAATGAAATCAATTATCAATCTTCTTAACCCTGTAATAAAAAAATTCATCAATACCATAAAATGAATGTAAATGGAGAAATTGTAATAGTGCTTTCTTGAATCGATTTTTGATTTTGGATAACTGTTTTATTTTGCGTGGAAGAGTATTATAAATTTTGATTCCAAAATACTGTGGACCTTTCTGAAATGCTGTTAGATTTGACGAGGGGAGATGCAAATTTGAACTATTTCTTGTTACAGTTGTATATATATCTGAATTTTCTGCAAATAAATCCATATTATTAACTACAAACATCATCAAAGAATATATATATTGAGAGGGCAGTGGTAATATTTTCAATTGGCTAAAGATTTTTTTACATGAATCTCTGTTTCCAGCTCCCACCATTATTCGAACAGCTCTCTTCTGCAATTTAAAAACACACATACTGAGAGTTCTATTTCCCCAAAAAATCAAACCGTAAGACATTACTGAGTGGAAAAAGGCGTAATACACCATTTTGAGGGCATCAGTATTTAAATACTGTTTGGTTTTCCTAATTATGTAACAGGCTTTATTTAATTTACCTATAATTGAATCTATATGTTTTTTCCAAGATATTGTGTTATCCAGTGTCATACCCAAGAATTTTACCTCATTTGACTCTAATAAAATTTTGTTTCCATATTCAATATTTAATTATGTACATTGCTTGGCCCTGACATGTGTGCTACTGCCTGTCCCATCAATTTTTTTTCTTGTCTAATTACTGCAGCAGGTGAAGAATTCATTACACATTAAAGGGACAGTGTATGTCATCACTTATAAAGAAAATGTGACACAACTTTTCATGGATTGCAGTTTTATGTTGTTGAAGTAAATTGCAGCAAAAATCATTATTATTGTGAAAAATCACACTTCTTGCAATTCTTATTAAAAAAACATAAAGAAATAAAAATGCAAATAATATCTTCTAACTCAGTGATTACCAATATTAATTGTACTAAATTCCTGGGTTTAAATGTTGATAGTACAATGTCATGGAAGGATCATATCACTGAACTGTCATCAAGACTAAATAAGGCTTGTTATGCAATAAGGGCAATAAAACCATTTATGTCTTTAGACTTAATGAAGTCGATCTATCATTCCTATGCACACTCTATTCTATCTTACGGTATTGTCTTCTGGGGTAATTCTTATCTCAGTGACAGTATTTTTAAAATTCAAAAAAGAATAATAAGAGTTATTACTAGTTCAGGTAGATACGACTCATGCCGTGAATTATTTAAAAAATTACAAATATTGCCACTTCAGTCTCAATACATATTCTCACTACTTGTCTTTGTCATCAAGAACAGAAGTTGCTTTATATCTAATTCTGATATTCATGATATTAATACTCGTTACAACCACAATTTACACTTGCCTTCTACAAATCTATCATCTGTACAGAAAGGAGTACTCTTTTCTGGAAGTAAGATTTATAACCACTTGCCATTAAATATTAAAATGCTATCTAAAGATATTAAGCATTTCAAATCTTCATTAAAAACCTACCTTACAGAACATGCATTCTATAGTATTGATGAATATTACCAATTAACTTCCTAATGAATGTGGTTCTTTTTATATTTCTTGCCCTTTGTACATTTTGATTAGTTGTGGGAGGTCTTCCCACTGTAAGTTCAATTCATTCATGTTTCATTGTCTTCACTATTATATTGTGTATTTGTTCAAACTGTGTTTTGTGACACTGTTGTGCAATACTGTGTTTTGCTTTGTGTCTTTGATCAAAATGTGTTGTGACACTGCTGTTATGCAATACTGTGTTTTACTTTACGTCCTTATTGTGCTCTTTATGAATGTATGTATATATCATTATTTTATGTTTATATTATATTTGTATCTTGACAGGGTCAATATCCCATAGGTTGGTTTGACCTTGTATGGATTAACAGAATGCAAATAAATGAATGAATGAATGAATGAATGAATGAATGAATGAATGAATGAATATACTCCCTAATTTCAGAGACAATGTTAAATTAATGCCAAAATATATTTTAGGCAGAACTGACTCACAGAAATAAATTTAACCTTTAAGTGAAGTCATTCTAAGATCTCATTTTATAAGTGTGCTTTTCTGTCAACAGATAAACGTGTGGACACAACAACAGAGGTGAATGAACCATCAGGTTCTGGCAGGCATGCTAAGCGTTACAATGTGCTGAGTCGCATCAAACTGCAGCCCACGTCAGAGGACGACTATGAGGGCTACACTTGTGAAGCTCGGCATGAGGCTTTGCCCCCTGACATGCCTCTCCGTGTCACTGTGCAGCTCAGTGTGCTATGTAAGTGAGATTATTATAAACTGAGCTTAAATATTAGAATACACATATAATAGACCATGACTTCTTCCCACATTCTTAATGTAAGTGTCTGCCTTTTATTTTTAATCTCATCATATATTACATGAGTAGGTGATATATCTTTAAATAAAGTAATAATATACAATGTACAGAATGTCACATGGTGTAAAAAGCCAGCACTTTGCTCACATTCATGGTAAGTTATTACATGCTGAAATTAAAGAGAGACCATTTTGCCTGTTCATGATATTAAAGAAATTATGCATGTTTCAGGCTGATAATGAGACAGGCAGAAAAAGAAAGTTCACTGTTTTACAGCTTTTATTGAAAGAGTAAATTATTACAGTAGCTGCTCAAAGTGGTCGCCTCCTTCTGTAACAATCTTATTGGTTTATAACTTTTATTGAAGCAGTACCTCGTTATGGCAATTGCTCAAGGTGGCCATAACCCTCTGTTAGGTAAGTTCCTGCTTTCTTCAAAAGACAGTCAGTTGTGTGAAGCATGGTGCCACCATTTCTGACAGGCACTGCAGAATTGAGAATGTGGCCTGTTTGCTTTGCTGTCATTGTGGTTTAGTTGCATGAACAAGGTTTTTCGTACATCCTCTGGGTCTGCCACACCTGCAGCCTCATTCAGGTAACTAGGCAGCCTTCAAATTATGTTTCACATATCACAAAGTGTGCTCACCCACTGTCATGCCAAAACTCCATTCTTCGTCTGGTCTCAAGCGGCACTTTTTTCCAGTGGTTTTGGACAGGCAATCTTCATGGAAGTTTAAATACATCTTTGCAGATAAGCAGTTTTATAACATCAGCAGTCCAATAACTCTATAATCCTAAAGTACTGGAAAATATAGCCTTATCAATCTTTACTTTCAACTTATAATGACCTGTTCTAAATATAGGTGAGGTTTTGACTATATGATATTGGACCTGCATGAAATTAATGTCAGCTGAAAATGTTCTTGTTGTGTTATTCTTTAGATCCACCTGGCATACCTTACATTGAAGGCTACACAGAGGGAGAAACAATTCGCCGTGGGCAGACAGTGGAGCTGACCTGCAAATCTCGAGGTGGAAACCCTCCTGCACAGCTTATCTGGTACAAGAATGGTGAGCAGATCCGTATGGCATACCGAACAGCAGGACGGGTCTCAGAGAACATCTACACATTCACTGCTGATGCGACAGACAACAAAGCTAGGTATCGCTGTGAGGCCTCCAACATCATGAGCCAGGGGCCTCTCAAAACTGAAATACAGCTGACAGTCCTGTGTGAGTATCCCTCCTTGCCCTTTATTATGACAGTAGAAAGAATTTCAAAGCTTCCCTCATTCCACCACTATTAAGTTGCTGGCATATATATGTGACATTTATATTTTGTCACAAAAAATCTAATGGGAAAGATGACTGTAAGAAACTACTGTCTTAGACACAAATCATTCTTTGAAGTGAAAGTAAATTAACATTATTGTATAATATTGTCATGTGTTGGGTATGTATGGTGACAAATAACTTCATACTGTATTAGATGTAGCGAATTTATTCCACATTCGCTCTCACATTTACACAATTTGCAATCTCACAACTACTGCCATCAGCAGAATCACAAATACTTCTTCTGCTGGAGTCACTGCCATTCACCCAATACACTCAATAACAATGGGCTTATTTACACAAGAATTTTCATGCAGAACTTACAAAGAGCTCAATTTTCTATTTCATAGATTTCTAGTGCTACAGATGTAGTACTCTTACTATTGTTATTTTATTTAATTTCTGTGAAGAAGATTTCGTTGGAGTATAGATTGTATATTAAATTTTCGAATATATTCTCAGTTTTTACATTAATGCCATGTTTGTATATGTAGACTTACTAGTTAGTTAGTTATTGGAGAGGGTGGGTTTCCCCATGCACTTAGACCACTATTGGTCCATTGTGCTTCCCTCTATGATATTCTACCAGTCTCTATACCCTACCGATAATGGTGTGTACCATCAGTCCCGACCGAGCCAGTGAGTTCTCAACTGGCTTGGCGGTATCTATAATGCTTCCCCCATCTATCAGAGGCCTTAGAGACTGCTGTTGGGCGGGAAACGTCCTTGAATTTGGCTCAGTGATCTCCTTTGGAGATATGAGGTTCTTTTACGTGCTGTAAAGCTACGACATAGGATCCATGGCTTAAAGTCCCTCCCAGAGGACTTGTTCCCTGAATTTTTCCAACCTTAAAAATTCGACGACCTCCGCCGGGTTTGAACCCGCGTACCATGAGTCATGAGGTGGGAACGTTACCTCTAGACTACGGAGGCCGCTTGTAGACTCACTAACAATACTTTCTATATATTATAGGCATGTTTATGGTCTGTCCCCATGCCAGATTTTGTATACTCACAGCTAGAGCAGTAGAAAACACATTTTTGATTCCATCTCAACTTCCTGTTTACTGAACTAGGGGCAAGCTTGCTCATTCATTGCTGCAACTATATATTTGCTGAAAAACTTTTTTCTTGGTTTGCTCACGCAGTTGCTCCAGCTCAGGTTAGCATCTCAGGTCCGACAGAGGCCAGGATAGGTGATTCTGTGCCCCTCACGTGTACAACAGCCAACAGCAACCCACCTGCGGAGATCAAATGGCTTGTAGCTGGCAGACATATTCGAAATGCAACAAGTCGCACTGTGGTATCTCCTGAAGGGGGCTGGATCACAACTTCAAATATTACTGCAGTTGTTGCACCCAACAAGAGATCATTGGTTGTGATATGTCACGGCATTAACATGCAGCTCACAGAGAACATTGTCAGCACCCATACTATCAATGTACTCTGTACGTATCCTTATTGCTGATTCTTTGTGTTCTCTCTTAGAGAATTACATATAATGTAAAATCATAAGAAGTTCGACATGACCATTTTAAAGTATTTCAAACAGGAAGAGGAGTTTTAAATCCCAGGGGTTGAAATAAGATTTTATAATTTAGGGGTTTTAACAAGTTATATTCATAGTGCAGGTATAGGTATTTGGAACTATTACTGCTAAAATGTTCTATTAGAAACTACCTGAGAGAAGATTCATTGCCAAATTTTACAGTCTTAATTAATACTAGTGAAACATATATTGCTTCCAATAAAGTTTATGGTTTCCTGAAGCAGAGCAAAATATGACTATTAACTCCGTGGACAATAGTATTGTTTTAGATGCTAATAGTTACTCAGCTAGTCAGCTTTCTAGCTCATCATACCCAGAAGTTCCATGCAACTAAAGTCACCACACTTAATGGTGATTCTTGCTCAGTATGTTATAATTTCGCCATTTTATCATACTCAATGAAAGGGTTAAATTTAATTATTTCTGTTTTTCAAATGAATCATGAAAAAGAGAATTTAAACGATCCTGTTAATTTCATTATTTTATGGACTCTCAGGATCAGGGATTTTTTTTTTATTGCTAGTGGGGTGGGACTAAGTCCCTTGTATTGCGGCCACTTCTGGCCTATTGTACCAGCCCCAGATGATAGGTGAGGGTGATTGTGGAGTAATTGGTGGAATGAAGCTTGGCAAGAGAAACCGAAGTACTCGGAGAAATCCTGCCCCAGTGCCACTTTGTCCACCACAAATCCCACTTGACCAGACCCGGGCAGCCGCGGTGGGAAGCCAGAGACTAACCGCTTGAGCTATGGTGCGGCCCAGGATCAGGGATAGTGTTGAATTTTATGACCATGTACACAAATGTCATCATACCAAAAAAAAACCTTGTACTATGGAGTCAGTCATTCATTTAATGTGCTAATTAGCTAGTATGTCAGGTAATATCTTGTGGCTAGTTAATTTGAGACTAGCTTTAAGAAATTAAAATTTTGTGACAGGGATAACTTACTGATCAATATGTCATATTTGAAGCCAAAGTTGAAATGATGATGATGAACCAAAGAGAATAAAATTAATAACAATTGTGACATGCTGCTGCTCTCACAAACAGATCCACCAAGTCAGCCAATTATTCATGGCTACACAGAGGCAACAAGCATTGCAGTTGGCACAGTGCAGAAGATATCATGCATCTCGTCTGGTGGGAATCCCCTCGCAACTCTCACATGGTACAAGAATGACAAGAAAGTGAGTAATGTATTGTCATGTATTAGTGACTAGACACAGGATTTGGACTGGTATCTGGATTTATTTAACACATTTTTTTTTTCTGTGGCGCTACAGCCCCAATTTGGGCCTAGGCCTACCTCCATGAAACTCTCCATTTCACTTCGGTTTACTAGATCTTACACATACGGTAGGACTCCTTGGGCGAGTGATCAGCTTGTCGCAAGGCCTCTACCTGTAGACAAACACAGAAAAACGCACACAAACATCCATGCCCTGAGTGGGATTCGAACCCACGATCCCGGCTTCCGAGTGAGCGAAGACAGTGCATGCCTTAGACTGCTCGGCTACCGTGACCGGCTATTTAACACATACAACTTATAATTACAAGCAACTTGAACAGCCTCACTGATTTACACACTTCACAAATCAAAATAGCACATGCTAAATCTCAGTCTGTTATGTCTTCACTGTTCACTCCTCTGTTACTATCTTCACTAGGCATCGCTATGTTATGGCTGCTAACAATGGAGATTCTTCTACTTCGGTGCTCACATCCTCACTGTACAGCAGCTGACTTGCAGTTAACTCATCAGTGAACCACTTTTCTCATTTAGACTCATTATACTATATCCTCAGATTGGACTGCACAGAAAATACCGCTTCCAACAGTTCCTCTTTTGTTGCAGGCAAATCTATTGCAACTATAATTTTTTATTTAGCCGTTATCTAGCAGCGGGCAATTTGAAGTCTGTGTCAACTTTTCTGGCTTCCAGCCATTATATCACAGTGTTGTCTGATGATGTAACTGCATCAAAGTTAAACTCAAAGTCACTTTACTACTGGCTGTTTACTGCTAATCAGTTGGTGCCAACCCCTCGAGAATCACAACAAGAGACCTCTTTTAACTGCACCCTTGCGACCATAGTCCTTATGTAACATCATCTCTGATGAGAGGATGGGTTTGTCTCATGACTAAGCTTCGCTTCACCTTTTCAAGAGTACATATTGCACATATAGCATGTTATTGAAAATTCTTCCTTGTTCACCATATACAGGTGCTCTGTCAGTCCAGGCTTTGCAAAGCAGATAATGTCTATCTTACATATCTTATGATACAACAGAAGCTTAGTTACTTGAAAGTTTGTAATCTTGACCGCCACCGAGTTTAAGGTTCATATATTTTCTATGCATGGCATCGCCTCATCCTGTGCTGCGAACATGTTCATTCTCATGATTTTGTATGTTTTCTGCCTGTTTTGTGCAGAATTTTGTTATATAATTGTATACATATGGATGTCTGAAAGCTGTGTGCAAATTGTGGATGGGCGTGTACCTTGGGAAATTTCCAGTGGTGTGGAATAACTTGTTTTGTAGGCACTGAAATTTTAAGAGCGTAATTTTTCATGTCAATAACCTGCCTATATGCTGAAGCTACAGAGGCAGTAAAGTTGTGGGCATGTTTATCGCTTTCTTCATCCGAGTTAATTTGGATTTCAGCTGAAATTAATTCAGAGGCCAGGTTGTGAAACCACGCCCAATCTGTGAATTTGTCCACTGGGTCCAAAAGATTCCTAGTTTTAACAGGATCCATTAAGCAGAAAATGAATGGTAGGTGATCTGAGTCCAGAATGTCAGAGACCATGATTTCTGACTGCTGAACATTCTTGCGCACAATAATATCGAGCATGTCACCATTTTCCGCAGGAGAGTAATGAGTGGGACATTGTGGTGCACAAAAGTCAAACTCATTTATATGCAATAAATTCAGTAGTTTCACACCTGAAGACTTGGAAAATATGCTATTCCAAAATGGATATTTATTATTCAGATCTGCTGCCAGTAGTGACTTATGTCTAAAGCTTAAGAGCTCAATGATATCGTCATCATTCCAACCATGGCCTTGTGACTTACAGATGGCTGCAAAAAGCACCTCACTAGTGCAAATCAGTATGGAAACCTCTGTGACTTGTATTGAAACAAATGGAGGCAGGTCTACATGATTGTGGGGAAATCCTTATCTCACTGCATTGGCAGTTCTGCCTTTTATTTCAGGGAAGCAGTCAGTCTGATAAAAGTTCTAATTTGGAATACAGAACATCTCATGGGGTTTGAGGTGCATCTCTCAGAACAGAGCCACATTTATATACATGGTGTATGTCTTGCAGCTGTTTGCTGAGCTCATAGTGCTGCCTCCAAGTGCAATTTGCATGAAGTGCTATGAGTTTGAGCAGCCTATGAACTCTATCAGCTCTTTTGTTGCATTAAGTTCAGTACTATTTTTGTAGTGACCTTTTTCTTTTACAGAGCTTCACTGAGCTCTGTCATGATCTGTTGGACTACAATGGCCACTTATAACATGTCACTGGTAGAGAGACTAGAAGTCTGTACTGACAGACCTGTTTTTTAATTTTCTGCTGTGGCAGATGTTGCTTCATAGGGTGCCACACACACTTTTCCCATCTGTCGGTAGTGCCTGTGGTAGCATGTATTTACAAAGTGCAGCTGCATAGGACTGCACTTAATAGGTGAACTTAGAGAAGAACGTACACCCAGAGAATCCCTTGACAGCTATTTATGCTATTCTCCTTTGTACTTCTTTTGCATAGCTGCAGCCCTGATATGACACTGGATGAAGTTTCTCTCCTACTACTAGGGTGCAGTTGCAGCAGCTTGGTATAGATTCTGTATTCATCATTTCAGGGCATTCCTTGTTGATTTTCTTTGTGTCGTGCTTACATATCACTTGACAGCCATATTGGATGAGAAGAAACTTTTTATTATAATACAAAACAAAAACAAATGAATATAGATCACTATTACCAACTTGAACATTTTTACATTACTAGATTCTCAACATTCCTCCTTAATTTCAAAATGTTATCAATATATTTCTCAGTTTCCTCCTTAATTTCAAAATGTTGTCAACATTATTAGCTGTTATACAGAGTTAAATTGAATAACACCTAGTAATTTTGGTCTTCAGATTACAAAACTAGTACATGTTATTAAAATTTTCTCAGTCTTGTCAAAATCAGACTTATTTCTTCTTAAGTATAATGTTTCTAAACTTGGTAAATTTCTCTGGTGATAGCGGTTTTGTTAAAATGTCTGCCACTTGAGTTTCAGTGTTACAATATTTGATTGAGAACAGTTTCTCTTTCAATTGTTCACTTATGTAGTGATACCTAATGTCTATGTGCTTACACCTACGCGTTACTTGTCCAGATTCTGTTAGCTTGACTGCACTCTGATTGTCGGCACACAGTTCAGCTTCCACCCTTTTTCCTGTCAACTCCTCTATCAACGTCTTTAGATATTTCAATTCTTTACAGCACTCAGCTGCTGCAATATATTCGGCCCCAGTGGTCGATAATGCAACAATACTCTGTTTCCTAGAGCACCATGATATTGGGCCCCCTGACAAAATAATTACGTATCCCGTTACACTCTTCCTATCCTTTATCCCCTGCATAATCAGCATCACTAAATGTTTCCAGTTTCACAGTTTCGGAGTCAGGTGAGGTATATTTTATTCTTGAATCTCGTGTACCTTTCACATAAATAAGGGTCCTTTTCACATTCTGAACAGCTATTTTGTCAGGATTTTCCGAAAGTTCGACTTCCCTCATTTACAGCAAATGCCATATCGGGTCTGGTTTTAGAAGTCATATATAGCAGGCTTCCTACAGCTTCTCTGTAAGGAAATCTTATGTCATTTTCTCCTTCGTCATTTGTTGGTGGGTTCGTGGCCATGGGTGTTTTCATTTCTCGACTTTCTTGGATGTTGTATTTTTCCAACATTTGGCTTGCATAGTTGGTTTGAGAGATATGTATCCTATCTGGTTGCCTCTCAATTTGTATTCCTAAATAAACTTTTGGATTTGTGGTTTTTGTTATCTGGAATTGATTTTCCAGTTTCAGCAAAATTTCCTCTATTTGTCTTTCATCCTCTCCCATGATTATCCCGTCATCCACATGAATGGCCATGAACAAATTATTGGCATCATTCTTAAAAATGCATTGGTCAGATTTTAGTTGGTTTAGACCTCCTTCTTTTAGAAAGGTTGTCAACTTCTTGTTTCATTGCGATGGTGCTTGTCTTAGGACATATAATGCCTTTTTCAGGAGACATATCTTGCCAGTGTTCTTGTATCCTTCTGGTATCTCCATGTAGTTTCCCTCCTCAAGGTCTCCATACAGGAAGGCAGTCTTCACATCAAAGGTTTGCATGTCCATATTCTTACGTGCTGCTATGGCAAACAGTACTCTTAAGAGAATTCATGTCAACAACTGGGCTAAAGGTATCCTTGAAATCTATTTCCCCTTCCTTTTGTTGCCATCCTCTCACAATCAGTCTGGCTTTGTGTCTTCCATCATCCTTTATTTTGAAAACCCATTCACTGGTCAGAATTTTCTTGACCATTCCTTTCTCTCTGTTTACGTATATCCAAGTTTTGTTTTGGTAGAGCGAATCCTTTTCCTCTTTAATGGCTTTCTTCCACTTCTCGCTGTCTTCGCTCTCCATGCACTCGCCATATGTATAGGTGAGCATACGCTCCTTTTGACTCTCTGTGTGATAGTCTCGGTACATTTGAATGTTTCTTCTTGGTCTCAATGCATATCCATGTTTGTTTTGTCCATTGTTTTTCCTTCCATTATCCTTGTGGTCAGCATTTTCATTTTCTTCATTCTCTTCAGTATCTGTTGGTTCTTCTTCATTGTTGTCAGCTTCGGGTTCTTGCTGCATTTAGCTATCTTGCTGATCTGGAGTATTTGGCTTGTCTTCTGGATCCGTCACTCTTTCCACTTCCTTTTGTTTATTTGTTGTCACAGGTTTACTTGTGAATGTCACATCTCTGGAGACATAGGTCCTTTCAGTATTTGGATCCCATATTCTGTAGCCATTTGTGTTGTATCCAACGAATATTCCTTTCTTGCTACGACTGTCCGAGAATTTTAGTGTACACTTCTGAACCAAAAATCTTCAATCCAGCCAGATCTGGTCTTTTACCACACCAATTTTCCACTGGCATTCCATTCACTGTCACTGTTGGACTTCTGTTTAGCAGGTATGCAGAAGTGAGTACAGCTTCACCCCACATTCTCTTACTTAAACCTGAGTCAAAAATCAATGCTCTTGCCTTTTCCACAATGGTACGGTTCATCCTTTCAGCAGTGCCGTTTAGCTGTGGTGAATATGATGTAGTAAATTCCATTGCAATCCCCTTGTTCTTACACCATTCTCTCAAGGCGTTGTTCTTATATTCCCCTCCATTGTCGCATCTTATTCTTTTCACTCTTGTATTGAAGTGACACTCAGCTTCATTTACATATTCTTTCAAAAAGGTATACACTTCTCTCTTATTTTCTAACAGGTATATCTTACAAAAATGCGTATAATCTTCCACACACGTAAGGAAATATTTCTTATCGTCATAAGTGGTGGGATCAACTGGTCCACACATGTCACTATGAATTATCTCTAATGGCTTTCCAGCCCTACTTCTTTGTGTATCAAATGGGAGTCTCACTTGTTTGGCCTGCATACAAACTGAACATATATCAACATTTTATATTTGCTCACACTTTCTGGTATCCCTTGGCATATCTCTTGTAGTTTCCTAAGATTCGCATAACTTATGTGACCTAGCTTTCTATGCCTCTCTACACTTTTATCTTGCTAAGTCTTCATAGCTACATTCCTCGCGCTAAAGTTTTTTACAAACAATCCATTTTCATCCTTTTTCCCTTCGATTACAACATTTTTGTCCTTGAATATCTGGACTTTCTCTTTTGTAAACAACAGTTCTCCATCATTTTCTGTAATACACTGCACTGCCAGCACGTTTTTGCTGAGTTCTGGAACATATGAAACGGTTTTCAAACTACACCCTTTAAATTCCAAATTGCCTATTTCTTTTGCAGTCATACTTTGATTTTTCTTTGCTATCTTTATACACTGAGTATACTGCATAGTATGTATCAAATCAGTCTTCACATTTGTCATATGACATGTGCTACCACTATCCGCTACATACATTTTGTCTTTTTTACTTGCATCACTCAAGTGGGTTTCTCCTGCTTCAGCTAGAAAATTGATCTTGCTTCTTTCATTCCTATCTTTAAAATAACAGTTCTTTTCAGCATGGTTCCCTTTCTTGCATACTGTACATTGTTTTTTCGTATCACTGTCCTTATTTCTAAAGTAACAGTCCTTTACAAAGTGATTATTCCTTTTACAGATAGAGCAATTTCTCTTACCTTTGTTGGGGCAGTTGATCTGGGCATGAGTTATTTGATTACAATTGAATCACTTGAAAGGGGTTTTACTTTTGGCTTTAGTTACTGTCTTGAAAGCTACGCTTTCCTTTTCTTGCACTTCACTTCTTCCAACATCAGTCTGGTCACCAGGTTGTCAAGGGTTCTGTCCATGGTCGCCGTTGAGTCCTAGGCGGTGCTGAAGTGTTTGCAGTCTTCTGGTAGAATCGTTATTTTTGTCATGATCATGTTTTCATCAACGTTTTGGTTCAGTTGACGAAGCTTGAAGACAGTGTTTTGCACGTGACTTACGTTCGTCTTCATATCCTTAGTTTTGTCATACTTGAAGTTGTAGAAGTCTTTTAGCAGAAGGCACTTCTGTTGAGAGGTGTATCTCTGATAAATTTGCTTCAAGGTGTTGTACATTTCTTTTGTGGTTGTGCATGTCACAGCGTGGGTCTTGACGTGTTTCTCTATCGTTCTCACTATGTAGTATTGGCACTTTGCACCTCACATCTTCCATTTCCTTATATTTTCTTCGTCTCTTCCTTGGTCACTTAACAGGTCTCTGCCATCAGCGATATTTATCAGTTTTTTGCATGCATCAGAATCCTGATTTCAAAATCCCACAGTGGAAATGAGTCAGTGTCCTTCAGTTTTGGCAGATGAGTTACCTCTTCTGACTCTGTGGTTGCCATTTTTTCGTTATTCTTCTTCTGTCTTCTCCTTTTTCTTCCTTTCCTTTTTTTTTAGTTTTTGAGCAAAACTCGGCCCATAACCTGTTGATTTTCTTTGTGTCATGCTTACATATCACTTAACAGCCATATTGGATGAGAAGAAACTTTTTATTATAATACAAAAAAAAACAAATGAATATAGATCACTATCACCAACTTGAACTTTTTTACATTACTAGATTCTCAATATTCTGTACATAGGTGGTCACCACCGCACCACAGGCACCAGGGGGGATTGCTTGCACTTGGCCCACACATGGCCAAAGATTTGTCAGTTGTAACACTGTGTAAGGCCAGTCTGAACTGTGCATAATTCTACCTTGGCGATATTAGGTTAAGGGTATTCAGCTTGCATTTCAATTATTATTATTATTATTATTTTACTGCAATTGGGTGTTCACCCAGTGGCAGTAGATCTTACGCTGATACAGACAAGGAAGGACTATATGTAAAGGAAACAATACAAACCAAAGTACATACAATAAACAAGGTACACACAGTGCAAATCCAAAACTATAAAGTCATAGAAGAGCACATGTTTATGTTTGTTTCACTGCACTCGATCAAGGACAGTTCACATCACTTCACTTGTTTCCATTCAAACTCCTTCTAGGGCCTCTTTACTTGTAACTACTTCCCTGATCCTCTTTCTAAAAGTGTTTGTTTTACAGGGGAAAGAAGCCAGTTTGCCTGCAGGTAAACTGTTCCAATCTTTTATGGTATTATTTACACAGCAATATTTGTCATCATCTGTTCTTTGTTTCCTACTCCTAACTTTCCAACTCACTCCTTCTCAGGTAGCATGGTTTAAGCAGGCTATTCTCTATCGCTTTCCAAGGCGGTCTCCTGGTGTATGCCTTGTAAAGGGCGCACAGATAGACTATCAGTCTATGCTGTGCCAGAGTTTCCCAGCCAGATTCATCTGTAGGATTTGCAAATTTAGCCACACTTCTTTGTACCTGATTTAAAGCACTTACCTGCAATTCTCTGTATGGGTCCCAACATACCACACTATATTCATGTATCAGTCTCACTAATGATATATAAGCTAGACGTTTCATATTATTTTTTCCCTGTTTGAGTATTCTCAATATTAAATGGAGGGCCTTCCCTGCTTTTCACAGTGTAAAGTTTACATGATCTGCCCAGCTAGATTGCTATGTATGATTATTCGCAGGTACTTAAAGCTATATGCTTCCGGAAATAATTGATCCCCAAAATAATATGTCAGTTGATCCTTCACCCCGGCTCTCATGAATACTTGTATTACCGCTTTACTCTTATTTGTATTTATCTTCATCTCATTTTCTACTAATTTATTTACATCCATCTGCAACTTGCTATTGTCACTACTAACCAGTATTTTCTTGTATATTATGCAATTTTCTGTGAATAGCCATATATTTGAGTCAATGCCACTCCAAATATCGTTAACATAAACTAGGAATTGTAGCGGTCCTAAAATGCTCCCTTGCAGCACTCCCGTCACTTAGACTTCTTCAAATAGGTGCCTGTCTACTCTAACTCTCAGTGAGCGTCCTAAAAGAAATTCCTCTATCCATACAACTACCTTCAAATGCACTTCAGACTACCCTCAATTCCAGTTTCTTTGTAAAATGACAATGAATACAAGGAGGGTAACTACAGGGGTTTGTCCATTGGGTGCTGTTTGAATGGACGTAATTTGCCTCATGTTGATGACATAGAAGCCTATTTCTTCCCCCTGTCATGTCTGGGGGACAATAATGACTTACTGCCTTGATAGGCTTTTTGGAATTTTTCTTATGATATGGGTTCCATCTTATCTACTTCAGAACTTGTACTCACCTTTTACATGGTATTTTAAGTTACTTTTGAGTCAGATGATATTTGTAGTACAATCATCACTATTGGTGGTGGCCTGCCTGGTTTTCTGGGAGTCTCCCTCTCCGGTACTGCATTCTGTGCTGCAGTAGTCTTCATGTCCATGTCAGTAGTCCTGAGGTGGTAAGTGTTTGCGAATTAACACTGCAGTTTGACAGCTGCAGGTGTTGTGACTGATTTAGTTGATTTGTTGACTGTCTCTGAGATACAATTAGAGATATGTCCTTTGCATCTCTTTACCTCCTGGAAGTTGTCATCCTGGGCCATTGATTCAACTGAGGTTTTGTTGACAGGACCACTTTGTCCTGCCTGTGCAATTCCTCACATCTTATATCGGTGTGCAAATGTAGTTCATAAGCTATTATCATCTGATTTATTTTCCAAAACCTAAGTTAACACGTGTGTTCACTCCCCCTTACCACAAACGCACACATGCGCACACACACAAATATATATACAAACATTATTTTACTTGCTGTAAAATATTATCTTTTACAGCAGGCAAATATGACAGAAATTTGAAATTTTTGAAAATTCAGTATGAAGGAAAGGAGTGGGCTTAGCATACAGTGCAGAATGATGAACTTCTTATATTAATAAAATGTTGGGTAGGTGAGGAATTGATTGGGTTTGCTGAGGTGACTCTTTCAATATTTGTGCCTACAGATCAACTCAGTAACTAAAGTAAATGACAGATCGGTGTCAGCAGAGGTGAACATACTGGTGAATGTGACAGACAATGAGGCACGGTACAAGTGTGAGGCATCAAACTCAGCAACTGAGATTCCGCTCTTTGAGACAGTCACCCTTAATGTCTACTGTAAGTATAATGGTTGCGCTTCGATTTTCCTCCAATATAGCAATTGTATCTTTTGCACTAGACAGTGGGAATGAAGGAAACTGGATTTTTGTTCAGTACTAGATTTTACAAGTTGGAATTTTCTCCTTTATAGCTGCTGGGCTTATAGAAAGCTGATATGTTAGGTATCACAAGAAAAGAAATTATTTCAGCAAGTTCAGCAGGAACAAAGCAAAGGATACTTAAAAAGAACAACATTTGCATTTGATTTATGAGCATTATGGTAGCCAGAAGAAGATTTCTACATAGAGGATAGCATTTCTTAAAATTATATTCTCGTGAACACTGAGGCACATTGGAGGATTTGAACAAAATCTGCCAGGGTTGCATGTTAAGGTAGTTCGCTATTACACTTAGAGTCTGCAAACTTTCAGCTTGGGAATTTCTTTAAAGTGGCAGTAAGAGCTCCTAAAATTCAAAGTTGCCATCTGCCAACCACAGTTTATAAAAGTATGAAAGATAACTTGGCAGCAGACAGATAGCCACTCAACTAGCTGAGAGTCCTAAATTTTTGCATTAGAGAAAACTTATAAAGAAACACCATTAATGCTGGAAATTCTTCTGAGAAGTTTACGGTCACAACTAAAGAACAAGCAGCACATTCTAAAACGCTTTATCTTATTTATTTAGAAGTTCAGGGATAGGCTTTTCACTTAGTTAACCCTTCCATTTAACCAGTAATTTTATTGAATCAATTTCTAATAAATATGATTCATAACACCCTTGGAGATTAGACACTATTTTGAGACTAGAGAACCAATTTCACATTTTTAACTGACCCTCATAAGAGGGTGGAGAAAAAGGAGCAATGGGTCTCAATTTATAGCACATATAGAATGTAGTGAAATGTAAGTTTATCTTCAATTATTGTGTTTCTGGACATTATCCATTTTCCTGTTTTTATGTGAAACACAATGTTTCAGGGATTGGATTCTGCCTTTGTCATCTGGTAAAAGCTTACTCAGTTTGGCCCAAATGATAGAGGTAGGTCTTCTCTCTGGGCAGTAGCACCAACCACGATAAGATATTGTTGATGACACTCGTGGTTTGGCCACATTGACCAGCAAGAATGCAGCAATTTGTTCACCACCTCAACATCGTTTAACCTACGATCAATTTCACAGTGGAAGTTGAGTTTAATGATATTCTTATATTCTTGGACATCATGGTCTTGAAGAAGGGCACTGAATTGGCCACGAAAATGTGCTGGAAACCAACTTCAAATCCAACCACCACACATCACGTGAAAAGGGGAGTCATTCATAGTTGTATTAATAGAGACAAGGTCATATGTCAGGATCAGAAGGAGTCAACAAGGAAATTAAGAACATAAGATATGATCTGATACTTAATGCATACCCACAAGAATTTGTTGACTCCATGATGAAGCCATCCTTGAGAGTAAATATGCCAGGACACTGTCATTATCCAATTTATTACGGATATCTCTAAGAAATTTAGAAGCATTGAAAACCATTTCAGTGTCAGGACAATTTTCAAACTAAACATACATCTTAAGGAACACTGATGAAAACTAGACTGGTTAGAGATTCCTGGTAGAAAAAGCAGTATGCGTACTGTATCAGATGTGGCTATGGCACAAGCAGATCTTTAGAAGTAATCTGACACAAAGTGTGCTTGAAAAATCAAACTTAGACCAACATGCATACAAAGAAAGCCACGAAAGTCTTTGAAAGAAGCAAAGTTCTTGTAGATTGAACCAAACACCACCTACAAGAAATACAAGGAATCTGCCCACATGTCTCTGGTAGATCATTTGATCAGTCAACCCAGCTTGGACATCTCTCCCACATGGACTCCCATTATTACAGCAGAAGTCAGAAAACAACCACTCTGCCAAGTGTACATCGTAGATCATGTGTGGAAGTTGTGTTTTTATATTGATACCATACAGAGAATGTGTCTCATTATTGATGATTTCTATTCTGATATTACTTTGATTTTAACGATACTAGCCTGGACATATGTGCTAGGCCTCATATGTATGTGCAGTTTTTGATGTTTTTAATATTTGTCTTAACTCTTGCAGATGGTTTAAGCTGCACTTGGTTTATATATCCTATCTTGTATTGGTGCTGTTGCCTGGAGACAGGGACATGTTCAGTTGATTGGGGCCACCTGAGTGTGCTTTTACCTGATGATGGAGACTGAATCCATTCTTCAAAATACTGTATTTTAAATAAAAATACAGGACAGTGTATAATGTCCAGAAACACAACAATTGTATTAACATACCATTGTTATAGATTTTCAGATCTTAAGTTTCTCTTGTTTTCTAGTTCCTCCAGACCATGTTGTCATACGGAAAGATCCCCCAGAGCTGAAGACTGGGACAATAGCAACACTGACCTGTGACTCCAGCTCAAGCAACCCTGAGGCTCGACTCAGCTGGTGGCGGGAGGGTATACCTGTTCAAGGAGTCACAAATGTAACCAAACCAGGGCTTCATGGGGGCAAAGTGTCTAGTATTATGCTGTCCCTGGACATCACACCAGAGCTCAATGGCATTGTCTACACCTGTCAGGCCACCAATGAGGCACTGCAGAGAAGTGTGCATGATGCCATCACACTGGAGGTCCTGTGTAAGTCTTGTAGTCATTTCTAGCATACCAACATTGTGTCAGTATGCTGTGGGAAATAACAAGTTGATTGTAGTCAGTGAACTTGTAACAATATGGAAGGAGACAGTTGTGACATATTTTAAAGCATTTGCTAAGTATTTGCCCAGAAAAATGTATGAAACCTCAGCCAGGATAGCTGGTTTGCTAGCCAGAATTAGGCAAGGGGGCTCCTGAACATGAAGCAAGGACTTTTCATTATAACATTAGGTGCGGTTCAGCGTCATTGTTTGTAGTGTGATGTTACAATATGCATTTAAACTTGAGCCTTTGCATGCCCGGAGGATACTGCAATACAGAACAGAAGAAATGCTTCTAAGCTGAGTTAAATAATCTTCTGTTTAATTTCAATTTCTTCAGTAACTGCAGGTGATCATACCAAACACATTCCACCATAATGATTCACTGAAAAGATGTGTTTGACATGTTTCCCAATTAGTGGTGTATATATGCTGTAACTACTGACTTATCTGCATCCTTCTCATGTTTCATCAGCTTGTCCTAGAGAACTGCCCTATGAAAAATGATGATTATTATTAACAATACTCTTTGTCTGTGTATTACAAAAGAGTGCTGTCTCTGGTGTGGGAACATCCCACATTATCACGCATTTTCTGCAACGTGCACTCTTCACATTACTTTTCACCATCACGCACGCTAACCAATCAGATTGCTTCAAACGTTTGCATTTATACAGCGCCTCCTGCTAGCCCGCAGCTACACCATTACGCACGCTAGCCAATCAATTCTTCCTCCTCACTTTCAAGTTTCACTCCGCCCCACCAAGCAGTGTATAAAAAGGGGCAGCTCCAACGCCAAGCATTCAGTTCATCATCAGTCTACGAGCTAGCCACACCAAGCAATATCAGCCAGCAGGCTTCGTCGCCAGCGCTCGGTCTACGGAGGCATCAGCGCTTCGCTGCGCCAGGCATGACTGCCACGGCTGTCTGCCGGTCGCACCCGACTCAGTGGGCAACTAGGCCACACGGACTCACCGGTAGTCATACCTGACACACTGGGCAACTGGCGTAGCTACCGCCTCTCCGCTCCAGCGACCGCGCTCAACGACTAGCCTTTCACCAGCCATTCACCGTAACTAACCTCTCTCCCTACCGGCGCGCGCTGCGGTACCTCACCAGTCAAGCATCTCATCAACCACGGTCCTTTTCAGGACCAACAAACTGTTCCGAAGAAGTGGGTTGTCATCGGAGTAATGACAAAACTACATTAAGAGCCCCACACTGGTCTTTAGATGTCACCAGCAACATACACAATTTACTGAACAGTATAGTATTGTAAAATATCTCACAGGTGGTAGCAAAATCATTTCAAGCAGTCCTTTATGTTTACATAAAAGTATGCTTATGGTTGCAGCCAGTAATAAGAGAGCATATATTTATATTTATGGATCTGAATGGGTTAAAGCAGTAATACAAATTCTATACTGTTTTCATCATAATTAGAAGCACATATGGATTAAACTTCTGCAGAATTCCCCAAATCAATAATGTATTGGTTTTCTGGTGGAGCTTCTCGTCCTCCATCACCTTCCTTGACATTTAGTTTGTTTTATCCATTCTCTGTTTGCAAACAATTCATAAATATTTATGCCTCTATTATAATAACGGTTCCAAGGTTTCTTTTTCCATCATCTGTAGTACCTCAGTGTCTTGGTTGCTGGTTTCAGACAAGCCAATATTTTCTGATGTTCCAACGGAACAACAGACTGGCATTGAGGGGCAGCCAATGGTTCTGTCTCTTCAGGCTACAGGGAACCCTAGTAATATTGTGTACACATGGACCAAGGATGGAATAGATGCTGGACAGGACTTACGAGTGTTGGTTGATGGTCCAGTCCTGAACATCACAAAACTGCGAAAGGAGGACTCGGGTGTGTACATGTGTGAAGCAGTAAACAGTGAAGGCTCCACTTCTGTCAAGTTCAACCTCACCGTGCAGTGTAAGTGCATTTCCTTTAAATGTTACTGGCCCTAGTACCAAGGATTTAACACTGTATTGGGAGTGAGTCAGTATTTATGAAGAATTCTATCTCCACTACTGTGAGAACTTCAAATCCTACACTGTATTTATGAGTTTACATTTTAACTTCTCACACTAATTTAAAATTAAAGTAAGTAACATAAAGTAAAGGTATTCCTGTAACAGACTGTGGAGGCCCATAGGGTTGTGAGACGTTGAGATTCCCACATTTTCTAGACAAATGGCTCATAGATGGCGGTATGTTTGTCAGCCTTACATGCTGGCCGTCTTTTACCCCCAAGAATATTTCTGGTACTCATTTCTGTTAGAGCCTGAGTTGACCCCAGGGGCCATAGTGTGGCTGGAAGGATTAGGTAAATTGAAAAATCCACCTCATTGGGATTCGATCCTGCTACCTTCCAGCTTGTAGCATAATGCCTCAACCAACTACGCTACCGCATGCCTCCTAGTTTAACATTACCCCTTTAAATTAAAAGCAACATAATCAAGAAGAAAGCCATCTTCTGGGATGTGGCACCATGTAGAAATTGTGTTAACCGATGTTTTGGAGGAACATATCACCTCCATTTTCAAGGTAGAAGATGAAGAAATCCACGAGCGAACCAGCAGAGCAGGTGCAACAGACTGAGTCCAGTCGAGTAAACACAGCTGTATAAGAGAAAGAGGGAAGTGAGTGGAGCTACATAGGGAAGAAAGTAGAATGGGGGAGGGGAAGGGTCTGGTGGAATGGTCAGAAGGTAGCAGGCTAGAGCAGTTATAGAGTATGTGTCAGGGGGAGAGAAGGGAAGGTTAAATGGAGGGCATTAACCCTGTAGCTTGGGGGCTGTGATGGACCTGAGTGGCCTATAGGATTTGCCATATTTCGGAGGTTACTTGAGGGAAAAGATGAGAGGCTTCCATGACTTGCTGAGACAAAACCCCACCTCTGTTCATATTGTCGGGATGGAGTTCAATCTCAGTGGCCTCCCTAATAATGTGATCCATGTAATGGGTCTTGGTAGTGAGGCTGGAGGTATTCTGAAGCTGAATGCGGTGTCCCAAATCGATGCTGTGTTCAGCCACAGCTGACTTGTCTGGATGTTTGAGACACATGTGCCACTGATGCTCCTTCAACTTTGTGTCCACAGAATGGCCTGTCTGCCCAATATAGACCTTGCCGCACTCGTATGGGATACTGTATACACCCAGTGTCCTTAGTCCCAGGCTATCTTTGACCGGCCGGAGGAAACTAGGTAATTTCTTTGGAGGCAGGCCCACAGCTTTGATGTTGTGCCGGGACAGCGCTCTGCTGTAGCCACACTCCTCTCCTTCTCTTATACAGCTGTGTTTTCTCGACTGGACTCAGTCTGTTGCACCTGCTCTGCTGATTCGCTTGTGGATTTTTTCCTGTCTTCTACCCTGAAGGTGGAGGCGATACATTCCTCCGAAACGTCGGTTAACACAATTTCTAAACGGTGCCACATCCCGGAAGACAGCTTTCTTCATAGTCACCGCCGTGAGAACCTCAAATCTTACAACATAATCAAGCTTTGTTTTCTGCTCCCATCAAAATGATTACTTTGAACGTACTTACACTTAGGGCAAGAGGGATTTGTGGTGGACAAAGTGGCGCTGGGGCAGGTTTTGTCCGAGTACTTTGGTTTCCCCTGCCAATCTTCATTCCACCAATTGCTCCACAATCACCCTCACCTATCATCTGGGGCTGGTACAATAGGCCAGAAGTGGCTGCAGTACAAGGAACTTAGTCCCACCCCACTAGCAATAAAATAAAAAAAATAATACTTACACTTAGGCTGCCCAACAGTGTAGTGGCGTTTCATATTGCTGTTCACATATCTGGTATGTCCTGATCCCATGTTATTACTTTCACTATGGTATGAATACTCCCTTCCAGTATTGTCTCAGTTTCTGTTTAGATCCACTTCCATCCAGACTTCCTAGCCATAATTTCATTCTGTTCACTTTTCTTCCAGTAAGTTCTGAGTATCTCATTTAAATGATCATATTTAAAAATTGCTGATCTCGGTAGCCCATGGTCTGAGGCATGTAATATCTTCAACCACTCAAACAGTGGGATTTTGGGTTCAAATCCGACTCTTGGCATGGACGTATGTGTATATTTCTTTGGTGTTTGTATTATCCTGTATAGGTACAGGCCTTGTGATGGGCTTATCCTCCCTCCTATCAAGTGTGTAAAAGAGTCATACTTTCAGAAATTAATTCCGAATTTGAATAGACCAAAGAACCCAATACATAAAGAAGAAAAGAAGAAGAAGATATTTAAAAACTCAATTTCCATTGCACATATAATTGGGTTAGGGACATTACAAAAATAATTGTTTTGTTTGTTTTGATAACCAATGAAGCATTTAAATACTGAGTTAATGAGTGTTAAAACAGCAAAATAAACAAAATTAACATTGCTTTATAATGAGTTAAATAACTTACACTTTCTTATTCAGGCTGTTCTCTTATTATCTAAAACTTTAAAATTAGTATAACTTCTTTGGTATTGAATGTAATTTTATGAAACGTTCACAGATTGTTCTACATACTTAGGAAATTTGTTAATTGCATTAAAGCATATTCCTTGTGATGTCAAAGAAGAATATAAACTTTAAGGAAATGAAGAATAAAATTGTTCTGAACCTTGGTCAGAGTTTCTATAGTAATAGGTTCAGTGTCTGATTGGATTGCAGTTTTTAGTTTCAGAATAATGTGGGGATTTTTCTGGAACACCCTATTCCCTCCTTAAAGTACCCCCACACAGAAAATAATTGTAAGGTTATAAGTCTGGTGAGGTTGATGGCCATGAAAATTCTTCCTCAAATAGTGCAGGATACCAGTATTCAATTCAATTTATTTCAAATTCAAAAATAGATCCAGATAGAGGCTGGGAAACAACCATTGGATATAGAATGAGTCACAGATAAAAAACAAACATTCCATTCCCACAGGAACAAGTCAAGACATTCATAATATAAAACAAAATAAAAAGAGAACATATCAGCTATATATACAACCCCCCCCCTCCCCCCGGTATAGAACTCTCAAAGGTTACACAAGCTCTTTTTTCATTTTCATTGCTCATCTATAATTTCCATAAAATCCAATACTTTAGGATGTGGAAATGTCATATTAGATAAATAAGTAGTACAAAGGACTAAGTCAAGACATAAGAATAGAACCAGAATACAATTAATCTTACCAACTAGTATATACAAAATATTCATCCACAGTATAAAATGGGTGACAAGTCAAGGCATTCATAATATAAAACAATAAAAAAAAAAGAACATATCAGCTATATATACAACAAAAACTCCCCCGGTTTACAAAAACAACGCAGAACCAAGAGATTTTATTATAGAACTCTCAAAGGTTTCAGGCATCAGTACAAGCTCTTTTTTCATTTTCATTACACATCTATTATTTCCATAAAATCCAACACTTTAGGATGTGGAAAAGTCATGTTAGATAAATAAGTAGTACAAAGAACTAAGTGAAGACATAAGAATAGAAACCAGAATACAGTTAATCTTACTGACTAGTATATACAAAAAATTCATCCACAATATAAAATGGGTGACAAGTCAAGGCATTCAGGACTCTCAGTTTGAAAATATTATGATGAATGCAAAGTGCTATGTTTCCAGTTTGAGGTCTGACACTGTCCTGTTGAAACAAAATTGAATTCATTGGAATGTCATATCCCATCAAGAAAGGGACAAATTTGTCTCTCAGCAGACAGAGGTAAACATCAGAAGTTGCTATAACATTGATGAACATGGAACTGAATATGCGAATTCTTAATAATGCACACCATACTGTAATTTTCCCTGGCTGCAGTAGCTTGGCAGTGGTAAACCTTGGATTCTCTGAGGCCCAAAATCAGACATTTTATTTGTGAATATAACCATTGAAGTGGAAATGTCCATCAGAGAACCAAATGAAAACCAAGACACTTGAATTGTCCTCAAGTATCACTTCGTACTCCCTAAAAAAACTTACCATCTCACTATTGCATCTTCCAGCAATGGCTGACAAGGCTGAATTTTGTATGGAAAGAATGAAAAATCATCATGAGAGATTCTCTGTACAGCGATGATTGATCCTCCAGTCCGTTGTGCTAAACAGCGCACTTTTCTGGGACATTTTGTTATTGCCTCCTATGCTACTCCAACAACTTCTGTGTGAACATACTTGCTGTATTTATATCTCTTCACATATTTATCACACGCTTTCTATACTGTCAAACTGTTTCACCATTTTATTTTGATAACAAGCACCTTCTAATCAGTTGTATGAAATAAGATATTGTTCTTCAGTTGAGCATTGCCAGTTTCAATAAACAAATTTGCCAAGTGTGTTGAATGATCGTTTAAAAGTTTTCATTCGGCAACAAAGAACTTACACAATTTTGAAGTGTTAAACATTAAAAAACACTCTGTGTTTCTCTCATTGTGTCTTGTATTTCACTGTTGTGTAGTCTAAACAATAACCTGTATATTGTTTATCTGTTCAGATGCTGCAGTCATAAGGGATGCACCAGAGTTTGTGATGGTGAATCCAGGGGAGAATGCACATCTGCACTGTGTGGCAGAAGGCAACCCTTTGAGTGAGAGCCACATCAGCTGGCGCCGGGAGGGCTTCAGTGATAGTGACATGGAACAGCGTACCGAACGCACATATCGTAATGGCACTTCCTATCTTGTTGTCCAGACCCCAACCAGAGAAGACAATGGAAATTTCTACTGTGTGGTCAACAATGGGATCGGCAGCGAAACAACCAGACCAGTGTATCTAGTGGTGAAATGTAAGTACAGAGCCATTTTGCAACTTTGTACACATATTCATTTATTATAGATACAAATTGGACACATGTAGACCTCATTAGTAGTACAGATAAACACTGCAGAGGGTCATACATTCCACTTCACTATATATACACCATACTGAAAAATGTTTTATGTAAATTTTGTAGGTATGAATGAACTTCATATTTTATGTCCATCCTAAATATATGTATGTTAATAAAGTTTTATCTAAGCCTCATGTACAATTAAGGTTATTGTTAGGTTTTTACCGTCCCACTCAGTGAGGCTTCAAGCCCCACAGGTTGGTCGCTACTTTTTTACCGTCCTTCCTTTCTCTTGCCATTCTCGCCACTGCCGTCGGTGGTCGTTGGGCTTGCAGCTAGGTCGGGCTTACCTAGCTCCACCGCTTCTCTGGCTCCACCACTTCTCTTCACTATGGAAAAGGGGCATCAGGTCCGGGACTTCACCTGGATTGTCAATGGGCGCCAGCAACTATGGATACAGAGAAGAGGTGGACGAGATGGGGAGCTGATGGTAATCGGGCTAGTCGTGGGGGAGTGAGACTCTGGCTCAGGTCGTTCTCGGGCCTTACTCCGACGAGGAGAAAAGAACACACTGGAAACACAAACACTTGGCAGCACTTCCTTTATTGTTTTTATAATCTGGGAGTCACTGAGATACAACTCAGATTGTTACTTTACTACTCTTGGTAGGGAGAGCTCGGATTCTACGAAATGAACGGGTTGTTGTTACTTGGTTACACGCTCCTGCAAGCCTCGTAACAATGCACCATTAGCACTATTATGGAGCACTTGGGGACTTGTATAGGTTACCGCTACCACTGCATGTGTGGGGTCTGATAGGGTCACCAGTTCACACTCACTCGCGTTTCTTTTTTCATTATTAATTTTCCTGATTTAACTTTCGAATACTCTGACATTAATTTCACTTAACAGTTGATCAAGAGGGCTAGCTCTGCATCCGGCGAGTTTAACCGTTGTTGCGAGACTTCTCCAAAAATAGAACAAACTCTCCGTTTTTGAAGATTCAGAGGTCCTGTGAAAATTTTGGAACGCCTCGTTGCCATCCTCCAAATCCCCGGGTTGGCTAGATTTAGACAAAATGGGGGAGGGGTTTGATCAAGTTTATCATTCCTCCAATGGTCAGCTGTTTCATGGTGAAAGTTAGGTTCTCGCGCTTTCATGATCTTTCTGACACGGGGTGGATCGAGGGGGTTCAATCTCATGGTGTTCGAAGGGTAGGTCTGTGACGAATTTGAGGCCAAAATTGTCGCATTTGTTATGCCCCAGAGAAAAAGGTTATTGTATGATATTTAGAACTTGAATGAAGGGAAATTCGCTAAAGAGTATTCCGAGGGTCTTCACTACAAGATAGCGGGTAATATTTGGATTCCTAAAACATCTGACTTCCGTGACCAATTGGGTGTTGAAAAGTGGTCCGTTTCTCGACTATTGAAACAGTTCGCAGCTCCTTTATAAAAGAAGTGTTTAACAGTCGGAGAGTTATGACCAGTCAGAGGGCCATCTCTCTCAGTGACAAAAGGTTCTCTCCAGCGTCTTTTTGGACAGATTTCTCTTTTATTAGAGCATAGGACTCTTTATAAAAGTAAGAAGAGTGTCGGGCTGGTTTGGTTTAAGTCCGGGGATTGTGACCCGTCATAAACTTTACCTTCTTGGAGTTGCGTAAGCAAACTTTCAAGCTGTTGCTTCTTTAGAAATTTCTAGCTCGTCCCAAAATACCTTCCTCTTTTTGTGTCAACTTGGCTTCTCTCTTTCTATTTCCAAATTACATAGCGTGGTCGAGTAGGAGGGAGGGCTGACTTCCCTTTGTGCCAATTGGGTTCAGGTTCCTCTGGTTTGAGTGGGGTGTGGGGTATTACATTTGCTTGTATGTAGTGACAAGTACTGACACAAGTAAACAAAACAGTGTGGTCCTTTGCATTGTACGGTTACAAGGCCAATGTTAGCCAATGTGAAATTCTGTCAGCAACCTATGTTGTGGGCTTTGGTTGACAACTACTGTGAACAAATACTTCAGAAATTTAGAAGTGAAACATGTAGGTGAGCAAATTGACATGTTCTTCCCATTATGTTTCCATTTCTTGAAGCTTGGACAAAGACTGCATGAAAGCAGACTATCAAGTTTGATTTACTTTTATTGAGTTGCTGATACTTCTGTTATCAGATGCATATACCAAGTGATCAATTCATAACCATACATAACAGAAAACACTGCTTTAATTCATGGCATTATATCAGTTAAATCTAAAATGCACTCTGAAATAATATCCATAAATACAACTTACAGTTTTTGATTACCCTACCTATTTGGCTTATAGGTTATTATGTAGAAAATACTGTACCTCAAATTTCTCTAAAAATGTAATGTAAGTGGGTGTTCACAGAACATGCTGCAAGTACCTTCCACGGCTCAGAATATATGTGTCACCCCTTGTGACCATGATCTGAGAAACAGGTGTGGCTTTTGACTGTAATGCTGCTGGTAACATGTTTAATATTCACTTTAAGTTGCATGATTCTTCGTTGTTTTGGTATGCTTGCTATGTAAGAAAAACCCATCACTAAGGTCAAACTATTGTTACTGGAGATTTGACTGTATCATATAACACTGTCTGGTTGAATCCAGCAGTCTTTGCATGAAGCTTCAGCAAGGAGCAGAATACCCCAATCATGTATTCATGTAATTATTATTAATGTTTGCAGAAAAAATATCCATACAAATGTGAGTGATGATATTGTTGAGAATCTAGTAATGTAAAAATGTTGAAGTTGGTAATAGTGACCTATATTCATTTGTTTTTGTTTTTATTTTGTATTATAATAAAAAGTTTCTTCTCATCCAATATGACTGTTAAGTGATATGTAAGCATGACACAAAGAAAATCAACAGGTTATGGGCCCAGTTTTGCATGGAGATTGCATTAAGTGGAGGGACTGTTTTGGAAGAGACTGTGGATCTGTCGTCTGACAGATTACTGATGATGAGTGTTCAGTTTGTATGCAGGCCAAACAAGTGAGACTCCCATTTGATACAGAAAGAAGTAGGGCTTGGAAAGCCGTTAGAGATAATTCATAGTGACATGTGTGGACCAGTTGATCCCACCACTTATGATGATAAGAAATATTTCCTTACGTGTGTGGAGGATTATACGCATTTTTGTAAGATATACCTGTTAGAAAATAAGAGTGAAGTGTATACCTTTTTGAAGGAATATGTAAATGAAGCTGAGTGTCACTTCAATACAGGAGTGAGAAGAATAAGATGCGACAATGGAGGGGAATATAAGAACAACGCCTTGAGAGAATGGTGTAAGAACAAGGGGATTGCAATGGAATTTACTACATCATATTCGCCACAGCTAAACAGCACTGCTGAAAGGATGAACCGTACCATTGTGGAAAAGGCAAGAGCATTGATTTTTGACTCAGGTTTAAGTAAGAGAATGTGGGGTGAAGCTGTACTCACTTCTGCATACCTGCTAAACAGAAGTCCAACAGTGACAATGAATGGAATGCCAGTGGAAAATTGGTGTGGTAAAAGACCAGATCTGGCTGGATTGAAGATTTTTGGTTCAGAAGTGTACACTAAAATTCTCGGACAGTCGTAGCAAGAAAGGAATATTCGTTGGATACAACACAAATGGCTACAGAATATGGGATCCAAATACTGAAAGGACCTATGTCTCCAGAGATGTGACATTCACAAGTAAACCTGTGACAACAAATAAACAAAAGGAAGTGGAAAGAGTGACGGATCCAGAAGACAAGCCAAATACTCCAGATCAGCAAGATAGCTAAATGCAGCAAGAACCCGAAGCTGACAACAATGAAGAAGAACCAACAGATACTGAAGAGAATGAAGAAAATGAAAATGCTGACCACAAGGATAATGGAAGGAAAAACAATGGACAAAACAAACATGGATATGCATTGAGACCAAGAAGAAACATTCAAATGTACCGAGACTATCACACAGAGAGTCAAAAGGAGCGTATGCTCACCTATACATATGGCGAGTGCATGGAGAGCGAAGACAGCGAGAAGTGGAAGAAAGCCATTAAAGAGGAAAAGGATTCGCTCTACCAAAACAAAACTTGGATATACGTAAACAGAGAGAAAGGAATGGTCAAGAAAATTCTGACCAGTGAATGGGTTTTCAAAATAAAGGATGATGGAAGACACAAAGCCAGACTGATTGTGAGAGGATGGCAACAAAAGGAAGGGGAAATAGATTTCAAGGATACCTTTAGCCCAGTTGTTGACATGAATTCTCTTA